TGCAATCATCCATTTTGGCAATGGAGCGACAAATGGGTCAAATGGCTCAAACATTGGCGGACATTCAAGGTCGCATCCCGGGTACTCTCTCTGCAAACACAGAGAGGAATCCAAGGGATGCCAAGGTGGTAGCCGTCACCTTAAGAAGCGGGAAGGAGTTAGAAGATCCAAAGGAAAAGAAACAACCACGCATGGGGGAAGATGCATAAAATTCTGTTGAAGAAAATGCAAAAGCAAATGTGCAGGGTCAAAATGCAAGCACTTTGCCACTGCACATGCATTCGTCAACTACACCTACAAAACGTGAAAAATTACAAGATGAGGTGTTTAACCTTATGAACCACCTGCACCCTTCCCTTAAAGGTTGATTAATCCCTTGGAAGACCCAAACTTCAAAAAGTTCGTAAACCTCTTCAAACAACTCCATATCAACATACCTTTGGCGGAAGCATTAGAACAAATGCCTACTTATGCAAAATTCTTGAAGGAGTTACTTACAAAGAAGCGCAAGTGGTCCGATATTGAGAAGGTAACCCTCACCTCTGAGTGTAGTGCAGTGATTCAAAATAAAATACCGGAGAAAAGAGATAATCCGGGGAGCTTCACCATTCCTTGCACCATTGGAGATAAGGATTTCACCAAATCCCTTTGTGATCTTGGAGCGGGGATCAACTTGATGCCTTACTCGGTTTACAATAAATTGGGGTTGAGAGATGTGATTAAACCAACACGGATCACCCTCCAATTGGCGGACAGATCAGTGAAGATTCCAAAGGGTGTGGTGGAGAATGTGCTAGTCAAAGTGGGAAGGTTCATCTTCCCGGCAGATTTTGTGATCTTGGAGATGGATGAGGACCGAGAGGTGCCTCTCATTCTTGGAAGACCATTCCTCGCCACAGGTGGTGCACTTATAGATGTCCAAAAGGGATAACTTACGTTCAAAGTATGTGGGGAAGAGGTAAGATTCAATGTTTACCGATCAAGTAAGTATCCCGACTCTTATGATGATGTATGTGTGGTGGATGTGATAGAATCATGCACCGAAAAGGTTCTCACCAACGATTATGATTCTGATTCTGATTTTGATGCTTTTGATGATGATGTTGAACATGAAAACCTAACCATGTCAAAAAGGACACAATTGCTTGAGGCTTTACCATGCAGATTGAGAATGAAGGAAAAACTCAATCTCGCCAAACGCTAATTCCGTCAAGGATTCAACCACCAAAGCTAGAGCAAAAGCCACTACCTAGTCACCTCAAATATGCATATTTGGGTAAGGATTCCACATTGCCTGTCATAATTTCGGCTTCGCTAACCCTTTCTCAGGAACAAGAGCTTTTGAGAATCTTGCAACGACATATCAAAGCCATAGGATGGACTATTGCCGACATTACGGGTATAAGTCCAACTTTTTGTATGCATAAGATACTCATGGAAGAGGGTTACAAACCCTCAATCTAAGCCCAAAGGAGGCTCAATCCACATATGAAGGAAGTTGTGAGAAAGGAGGTAATGAAACTATTAGATGCAGGAATTATTTACCCTATTTCTGACAGCAAGTGGGTGAGTCCTGTGCAGGTTGTCCCAAAGAAAGGTGGAATTACCGTGGTGAGAAATAACAAGGATGAACTCATACCAACTCAAACTGTCACCGGATGGCGTGTTTGTATCGTTTATAGGAAGTTAAATGAGTCAACCCGAAAGGATCACTTTCCACTTCCTTTTATCGATCAAATGCTTGAACGGGGCTGGTCATTCTCATTATTGCTTTTTAGATGGCTACTCCGGCTACTTTCAAATTCCAATTGCACTAGAGGACCAAGAGAAGACAGCTTTTACATGTCCTCAAGGAGTTTTTGCATACCGAAGAATGCCATTTGGGTTGTGCAACGCACCGGCTACCTTCCAACGGTGCATGACAGCCATCTTCTCCGACATGATAGAAACAAGTCTTGAAGTTTTCATGGATGACTTCTCAACTTTTGGTACCAATTTTGAACATTGTCTAGCTAACTTGTCTAAGGTTTTGCAGCAATGTGAAGGGACCAATTTAGTCCTTAACTGGGAGAAGTGTCACTTTATGGTGACGGAAGGTATAGTACTTGGACATCGCATTTCACCTAGGGGGATTGAGGTTGACAAAGCTAAAATTGAAGTTATAGAATGACTTCCCCCACCTAGCAACGTGAAAGGAATTAGAAGTTTCTTAGGACATGCCGGTTTTTACCGGAGGTTCATTAAAGATTTTTCTAAGATAACTAAACCTTTATGTGAATTGTTAGCAAAAGACAATGCTTTCAACTTTTCTGATGAGTGTTTGCAGGCTTTCAACAAGCTTAAGAAGGAGCTCACATCCGCACCCATTATCACAGCACCCGATTGGAATCTTCCATTTGAATTAATGTGTGATGCTAGTGATTATGCAGTAGGGGCTGTTTTGGGGCAGCGGAAAGAAGGGAAGTTACATGCCATTTACTATGCAAGTAAACTCCTTAATGATGCACAAATGAATTATGTGACAACTTAGAAAGAATTACTTGCGGTAGTTTATGCATTTGATAAGTTTCGATCATATTTAATGGGTTCAAAAACCATTGTGTACACTGATCATGCAGCCATCAAACACCTTCTTTCTAAGAAGGAAGCCAAACCTAGGCTACTTCGTTGGGTTCTCCTTTTGCAGGATTTTGACATAGAAATCCGTGACAAGAAAGGCTCGGCGAACTTGGTAGTTGACCATCTCTCAAGGTTGGAAGCAAAATCACTTCCAATTGACAATTTGGATATCGATGACTCATTCCCCGATGAGAAACTCTTTGCCATAATAACGAAGGGAGCCCCTTGGTATGCTGACATTGCAAACTACCTAGCAACAAGTAAGCTTCCTGAAGCATCTTACCAACAACACAAGAAATTGATCACCATTTCAAAGAATTACATATGGGATGATCCATTCTTGTACAAGCATTGTGCTGATCTTATGATAAGACGTTGCATTCCTGAGAATGAAGTCAATAGTGTACTCAACTTTTGTCATAGCTTAGTTGCAGGAGGTCACTTCGGACCTCAAAGGACAGCAGCAAAAGTCTTACAATCGGGTTTATATTGGCCTTCTTTCTTTCATGATGCCCGTAACTTTGTTGCTGCATGTGATAGATGCCAAAGAACAGGTAATATCTCATCTAGGATGAAGATGCCACAAACACCAATCTTGGAGGTGGAGATGTTTGATGTATGGGGTATAGACTTCATGGGTCATTTCCCATCATCCTACAACAACAAATACATTCTCGTCGCTGTCGATTATGTATCAAAGTGGGTGGAGGCAGCCGCATTACCAACCAATGAATCAAAGACGGTGGTGAACTTCATGAGAAAGAACTTGTTCACCCGTTTTGGAGTGCTACAAGTTGTTATAAGTGATGAAGGAACTCATTTCACAAGTCGCGAGCTGAATACACTCTTGGCCAAATATGGAGTCAAACATCGCATTGACACACCATATCATCCACAAACCAGCGGGCAAGTTGAAGTATCCAACCGCGAGTTGTAGCACACCTTAGAGACCACCGTTAACTCCTCTCGGAAGGATTGGTCGAGGAAGTTGGATGATGCATTGTGGGCCTATAGGACTGCCTATAAAACCCCATTAGGCATGTCTCCATATCGGCTAGTGTTTGGCAAAGCATGTCACTTACCGGTGGAGCTCGAACACAAGGCGTATTGGGCCATCAAGAAGTTGAATTATGATATGAAACAAGCCGGAGAAAAGAGACTCCTTCAATTGAATGAGCTAGATGAGATCTGCCTCAACGCCTATGAGAATGCCCGAATCTATAAGGAGAAGACGAAGAGGTGTCATGATCAACATATTGTAAGGCGATAATTCAATATAGGGGACAAGATATTACTCTTCAACTCTCGTCTCCATCTCTTCCCGGGCAAGTTGATATCGAGGTGGTCCGGACCACTCACGATGACCAAAGTCGTCCCTCATGGCGCAATCGAGATTCTTGGTGACAATGGAGTGTTCAAGGTGAATGGCCAGAGACTCAAACAATACATAGAAGGAGCATCCCTGCTGGAGATCTCCTCTTATCGCCTAAACTAAGCCATTCCAACGTCGAGCTAATGACGTTAAACAAGCGCTTCTTGGGAGGCAACCCGAGGTTTGTTTTTCTTTCAAAAAATTTTTATAATTTCACTTTTTAGGGCGTTTGAAGAATCTCCATAAAGCTTGAGATCAAAATTTGTTGAGGAATGTATTTTTCCAATTTTATAGGTGCATTGGCAAAATGCTTTGATGGAAATGTACAGTGGGGAAATGTTTTTTTTTTTTTTTTTTGCAATGGAGGAATGCAGTGTGGGGTGGAAGGCGACATTGATTGACTTGAAGAGCTAAAACGCAATCAGAAAAAAAGAGGGACAATGAAGCACTTTTCTTTTGTTTTTCTTTAAAAAAATCTAGAAAAAATAATGAAAAAACCCGAAAAAAAAAGAGAGTGGGCGGGTATTCTCCCGCAAAAAAAAAAGAGACGAAGTGGCGAGAGATTGGAGTCTTGAAAAAAAAGACAATTAAAAAAAGGGGGTTTGCGGCTGCACAACTCCAAAAGAAAAAAAAATCCGGAAAAAGAGAGAAAGAGACAGATGGGGGTGTTTTCTCCCGCATAAAAAAAAAGCGAAATACAAGAACGAAAAAAAAAACCCAAACCGAGTAAACAACCAAACTCGGGTTCTCTCTCCTACATCTCCTCCCACCTTTTTCTCCTTCTTCTTCTCCTTCGTTCGTTCTTCTTTCGTCCCTCTTCTTCTCCCTCGTTCTTCTTCTGTTCCTCCAAAACCTCCACCAAAACTTCCACATTAACTGAAAAAATCATTCCATCCACTAATTCCACCTATACCTACCTCCATCAAACAAACCCAATTTACCACAGATTTGTTGTTCATCATTTCCCCCAAATTTCTAGGGTTCCTTAACCCACAACTTCATCACTTGGCGAAATTCGATTGGGGCTCTCCATCAATGATCCACTTTTCTCAAGGAAACGCGGTAGCATCAGCTACTATTGGAAATTCATGAGACAACCCCGTTTGCCACCATCCACCAGTTGCTCAATGTTGAGCTCCGCCCAACAAGTAATTCCAGTCTTTCTCAACCTCTTGCTACTTAATAGATGAAGAATAAGCAGAACTGGATTGCATGAGACAGTCGATTAATTGTCGAGAATTATTTGATTGTGGGGTAATGGTGGCTGGTCTTATGTAAACAAAAACAAAAAAAAAAGAGAAACAGCTTGGTTATGCTCGATAGTTGGAAGAAACAGCTCTGAGAAGCAGCCATGGTGAGGAGAAAAATTGCTGGAGTTGGCCACTTCCAAGTGGTTGACCGTAGCATTGATGGAGAGACAGAATTCAGAAAGTGGGATATGACTTATGCGCTATGTCTTCTCTCTGAAACCGGTTCAGTTCCAAAACCTAGACCAGAAGTTGCTGGAGTTGAAGTTCCCCCCACATCTCATAGGGTTGTCAGAGGCAGCATTGGGAAGAAGAGAGTGGAAAGAGTTATTGTTATGCCTCTTCCAGAAGGATCAAAACTTCATATGATGGGAGACTATGTTCAAGCCACAATGGACGCCTTTGACGATCCAATGGAGCTGCCATCTGAGCACCAAAGCTGCAGCAGTTATGTACCTCCACCACAAGCCAAGGAAAGTGCCAAAACCAAGCCGGGAGAGCCACCATTGAAGTGAACACGTTCCAGCAACAATGCACCTCAACCGGAAAGAAAACAGAAGGCTAAAGACAACAACAAGAAGTCACCATCAAAGAGGCAAGCTGATAACGATGTAATTGCACATATTTGCGCCCCTAATTCTTATCCGTTTGAGGGGCATAGTCGTGTACTTTTGGCCTATTTTACGCCGGGTTGTGCTATTTTGTCATATTTCAGGTCCCATGCGTCAAAGGAAAGGCTAAGCACTAGTTTCGGGGCATTCGGAAGTCATTTCGTCGAGCTGGAGCCAAAACACCGGCACACCTAATTCATTACACGGCCGTGTTCTCCCAAAGCACGGCCGTGTTCTCTCCAAAACACGGCCGTGTTCTGTGGCCGTGCTTTTACTGCCGAGAGCTAATTCGAGTTTGGCAAACATGAGCTGATTACACGGGCTGAAAGCACGGCCGTGTTCTCCCAAAGCACGGCCGTTTTCTCTCCAAAGCACGGCCGTGTTTCTCCCAATGCACTGGCCGTGTAATTAACACTAGCCAAAGCACGGGCGGGCTAAGGCAAAGCACGGCCGTGCCCTCGACCGTGCTTTGGCCTCTGATGCCTTTTTAAGCAGATTTTCAGCCAAAGAGAAGGGGATTCGAGTTTTAGAGAGACAGAGCGATTCCTAGAGAGAGAAAGCGACGAACAAGAGTCTCCAAGCGCCCTAGATTGATCTTCAACGCCATTGGAGGCCAGTTTGAGCTTGGAGAAGTGTCAATCAACGTCCAGGAGCAGGAATCCATCCTTCACAATATGAATTCCGCGTCTGATTCTGCTTTTGCTTCTTTCTCCATGGAGTAGTTCTCCCATTCATCTGGGTATGGAGAACCCTAGATTTGTATGTTAGGCTTTGATTGTATGAACCCAAGTACTGATTCTATGATTTGATTATATTCGATTGAGGTTTGAATGATTGAATGAATTGAATCCTGATCAAATTCCTGTTGTTTCTGCTTTGACCTAGAATGAGAATATCTGCCTAGGTTGATAGAGCATCCTTGATTGAAGGTAGGGAGTTGGTGACTTTAGTCGAGGAGCCAACTCACTATTCTGTACCGGATTTACTCCGGTAGTGGAGGTTTTGTTTGTTAAGGCCTCAATCTGTTTACTCCGGTGGAGGTTAGTCGCCCGCTAGAGACTCAGATTGAGAGGGTCTGAAGACCTTTAGTCGAGACTTCAGGCTGTTTTAGAACCTTCTGCAGTATAACTATCATAGAAACTGAACTTGGTAATTACAATCCGGCTTAACTGCAGTCTAGGGGGAACCATATCCGGGTGACATCTCTTAACCTGAATACAACAGTTTACTTGCTTTGTTTGTTTGGTAGTTTAGACTTGCATTCCAGTTTCATTGCTAGATAACAAGAATTCACTGAGTAGTCATCAAATCTAGGACCCGGGTTGATAATTAAACCTAAACCCGCTATACTACGCTTTAGGAAGTGGTTTCACTTGGCCAATTCCTGGAGTGACAGTAGAAGTGAGTCAAGTTTCTGGCGCCGTTGCCGGGGACGGCTAGGTTGTTGAAGAAAAGTGGTTTCTGTTAATTTAGCTTTTCTTTTTGCTTTGTTTGCTTTGTACCACTTGTGCCTTCACGGGTTTGCTTGCTTGAGTGTGTGCAGGTAGTGCATGACCCGTAGCCCGTCAGGAGGTTTACTGCCGTTGAATCCAGAGATTGACCGCACCTGTCGCCAACTCAGGAGACAACAGCGAGTTAGACTGGCTACGGAAGAGCGCCTAGACGACCACTTGAGTAGCGATTCTGAAGAAGAGTACGGGATGGACGGAGACTACAATCAGCACCAGGGGAATCCTCAGCAGGCTCCCCCAGTGAATCAGGTCCTGGGGAACAACCCCATACCCCAGGATCATGGAGTTCATCATCCACCGCAGCCAGGTCCAACCTTGGAGTACTACTACACTCCACGGATTGCTGACATCCGCCCGGTCATCCTCTACCCGCCTATTCCAGCAAACAACTTCGAGATCAAGCCATGCTGGATTCAGCTCATCACATCCTCTATCCAGTTTCATGGCTTGAAGGATGAGGAGGCCAGGGTACATCTGTCCCGTTTTCTGCAGCTGAAAAACGGGTTCAAGCTGAATGGTGTCCCTGATGATGCAATCCGCCTTCATCTCCTCCCCCATTCTCTGGCGGGGAATGCTAAGAGGTGGTTGGAGACCCAGCCCCCATTGTCCATCACCTCTTGGGACGATCTGGCTGACAAATTCGTGCACAGGTACTATCCGGCATCGAAGACTACAGAGATCCAGCGGGAGATCACTCACTTCCGCCAAGAGCCAGATGAGTCACTTCGTGATGCATGGGAGCGGTACATGGGATATTTCTGGCAGTGTCCCCATCATGGCTTTAGTGATGCATTCACAGTGGGGAACTTCTATAGTGCCCTCTCTCCAGATAGCCAGAGGGTGATTGAGTCTCTATGCCCAGGAGGGGATATTCTTACTAAGACTCCACCCGAGCTGAACCAGATGATCAGTACTTTGGCTGCCAGCGATCATTCTTGGGGACAGGGTAGCCGAGGCAGACAGTCCCGGGACCGTGGTGTGCACGCCATGGAGACCAGATCCGGGCTCGAGCAGCAGGTAGCTGAGCTAGTGCAGACATTGAAGCAGCCCAACAGTCTTATTCCGGGAAGAGGTTTGGCTACACCTCGAGTAGCTCAATGTCAGTGGTGCGAGAGCTCCATTCACCTAGTGGAGGACTGCCAGGCTATGAGGGAGTCTACCACTCCCCAAGAGCAGTTGGACTTCATCGCCAATGCTCGGCGCCTCGACCCGTACAGCAACACATATAATGAGGGGTGGCGCCAGCATCCCAACTTCGCCTGGAGCAGCAACACCACTAAACCACCTGGTTTCCCAGCACCAGCAGGTGGTTTTCAGCAGAGACAGCCCTTCCCGGCTCGACAGGGGCCAGCCCCACAGCAGCAACCCTACCAGCCTAGGCAAGGGCAACCATTCCAGCAGCCCCAGCGCCAGTTTGCCAAGCCAGCAGTAGCCCCGGCCCCAGATGACCGGATGACAAAGCTGGAAAATATTCTAGCTTCATTCATGACTAGCACTCAGGCTGCTATCACGTCACTGGAGGCAGGTCAGCGGAACCAGGGTGCCATTTTGCAAGATCTGCAGACCCAGGTGGGCATCTTGGCCCGCCAAAACACTACCAGGGCACCGGGGACTCTGCCTGCCACCACTATCCCGAATCCTCGGGATCCTCACCAGCTCCAGCAGTTGGATGCCATTTTTACCAGGAGCGGTAAGACCATATATGCTTATCCTGTCCCGGCCAGACAGGAGGAACCATCACCTGCTTCAGCACTTCCAGCCGATGATGCAAAAGTGCGGATGGAGAAGGAAGCCCCTGCTCCCAAGCCACAACCAGTGGTTAAGGAGCATGTACCTCAGCTTCCCTTCCCCACTCGCCTCCACAAAGACAAGCTGGAGACTGAGTTTGCCAAGTTTATGGCAATGTTGAAACAGCTCAACATCAGCATACCGTTCGTGGAGGCACTGTCGAAGATGCCCAAGTATGCCAAGTTCATGAAAGATCTCCTCACCGACAAGAAGAAACTTGGGGATCTTTCGACAGTGATGCTCAGTGAGGAGTGTTCTGCTATCCTGCAGAACAAGCTGCCCGAGAAGCGAAAAGACCCAGGGAGTTTTACTATCCCTCTTACTATTGGCAGCATGCATGTAGGCAAGTCCTTGGCGGACCTAGGCGCTAGCATAAATGTCATGCCATATAAGTTGTATAAAAAGCTAGACCTAGGTGAACTTAGCCCTACTAGGATGAGCATTCAGCTAGCTGATCGTTCCATTGTGCATCCTAGGGGGGATCATAGAGGATCTGCTTGTTAAAGTAGGTGCATTCACATATCTTGTTGATTTTGTTATTCTTGATATACATGAGGATGTGGATGTGCCTTTGATTCTGGGTAGACCATTTCTTGCCACCGCCAAGGCACTTATTGATGTGCATGATGGTAAACTGATCCTGCGTGCTGGGAATGAACAGGCTACTTTTTCTGTGACTGAATTTGATCACTGTGCTATGATTCCTGTCACGCCTGTACATGCCATTTCTGATCAGGTACACGAGCCTGTCGTGTATCCTTCTGCACCTCTTATTTTGCAGGACCCTCCTATCATTCCTTCACTGCCACTCCATCCAGCCTCGCCTCCGAACAAAAAGCTCAAGGAGGAGTGGCGGCCGAAGCAGCAGGTTGCTAAGCCTGCACGGAAGAAGAGTGGAGACCACTATGAGCTGGTCCCACCTCTGGCACCACGACCACCCTGGCCGTCTGGGTACTCACTCGCCTGCATCTTGCCGGATGGCCAGGTCGAGCTGACCGATGATGGTGGTCGCATCCGTCGGGTGCATGGCCACAACCTGAAGCTGTACCTCAAGAGCGACGTGGATCCGCTCTTGGAGGCACCTGTTCCTGCACCTCCCTGAGTATCCACCATGGGCGTCCAGCTAAAAGACGGTAAAGAAGCGCTTGTGGGGAGGCAACCCCACCACGGTTTGACTTTCTTTCTTGTGTTTTGAGTCGGATTGTAAACCGGTTTGGTTTTTGTTTGTTTTCTTTTGTTTTGGATGATGTCTTATTGGGCTGACATTGGACCTAACATATTGTGTTTGAGCTCTTCTGTTCCCATTTAGCTGTGCTTGGCTTGACTGGTCCTCTATCCAGTTCGCGTCACTCGACTGGTCCGCTTCCAGCCTCCTGCAGTCCGTGCATACCGGTAACATCGTTCCCCTTTTCCTTCCCTCTTCTCCATTGAGGGCAATGTCGATCTTAAGTGTGGGGGGATGTTTATCTTTTGACTGCATTAGATCTGTTTGTGTGCTTGGAGCCTAGTCCACTGTCCAAATTTTTTAAAATTGAGGGCTCCAAGTACGTGTTTCCGTGCAATTGCCTGCTCAGTATGTTTTGAATTGACAGTCTTTATAGTAATATGCAACCTAGGGAGGTAGTGTAGCACTATGGAGGATGTTGATGCATTTAAGAAGTCTCATTTCTTCTTCATATTGTGTTGGTTGATTGAGTGAATTAGTTATCTTAGGACGCTTGAATGGTGTGGTGTTGTGGATTCTCTACCTTTCATGGACTCTTGTATCATGTTTTGAGTTTAACAGGTGCTCGAAAATGTGCTTCAAAATAACGTCTCCCGTGCGAATAGGGCGAAAGTGTGTAAGGGGAGACGGGAATCAGTTCCCAATTTCCACCTACTACCTCCAGCCCCCTTACATGTCTTTCCCCCGCACGAGGCTCGAGACATCCGCTCCTGGCATGGCCGGTAAGAGCCGGTTGGGACCTTTGAAAAAGGAAAAAAAAGAAAAAATAACAGAAAACAAGCAAAACAGAAAGAAAAGGGGTTCCAACCATCTTCAAGAAGAAAATAGAGCACCTTGAAAAATGTGAGTCCATGATCCTTTGTTTTTGAGAATCTCTTCATCCACAATTCATTTGTCCTCTGTTCACTATTTGCCATGATGCCGACTCGATACTAGTGCTCTCGCCGAAGAAGCTATGAGATGACTTGTGCGTCGGTTGACCTCGTAAGTTGCTAAATGATCTACGAAGTCCTCTACCTAAGATCTGGGTTGTTTGTTGCTATAGAGGTCTAGAGAGTTGCATTGGTTTGAGTTAGGTTTGCTTGGGGACAAGCAAACGGTTAAGTGTGGGGGAGTTTGATAACGATGTAATTGCACATATTTGCGCCCCTAGTTCTTATCCGTTTGAGGGGCATAGTCGTGTACTTTTGGCCTATTTTACGCCGGGTTGTGCTATTTTGTCATATTTCAGGTCCCAGGCGTCAAAGGAAAGGCTAAGCACGAGTTTCGGGGCATTCGGAAGTCATTTCGTCGAGCAGGAGCCAACACACGGGCACACCTAATTCATTACACGGCCGTGTTCTCCCAAAGCACGGCCGTGTTCTCTCCAAAACACGGCCGTGTACTGTGGCCGTGCTTTTACTGCCGAGAGCTAATTCGAGTTTGGCAAACATGAGCTGATTACACGGGCTGAAAGCACGGCCGTGTTCTCCCAAAGCACGGCCGTGTTCTCTCCAAAGCACGACCGTGTTTCTCCCAATGCACTGGCCGTGTAATTAACACTAGCCAAAGCACGGCCGTGCCCTCGACCGTGCTTTGGCCTCTGATGCCTTTTTAAGCAGATTTTCAGCCAAAGAGAAGGGGATTCGAGTTTTAGAGAGACAGAGCGATTCCTAGAGAGAGAAAGCGACGAACAAGAGTCTCCAAGCGCCCTAGATTGATCTTCAACGC